TTGGTAGCCCAGGCTGGCCTCGAACTCACAAAGATCCGCCTGCCTCTGCCTCCCGAGTGCTGGGATTAAAGGCGTGCGCCACCAACGCCCGGCTTTTGATTGGGTTTAATTCTTAGCATTTTATTTTTTTTTGGTGGTTAAGGTGAATGTGATTATTTCTTTTTCAATATGTTGGCCATTGGTATATAGGAAGGCTATTGATTTTTATGCATTAATTTTGTAGCCTGCGACTTTAGTTAAAGTATTTTGCTCTAAGAGGTTTTTGGTGGAGTCTTGAGTCTCTTGGGAACTGGATCATATCATTAGCAAAAAGACACTTTGACTTCTTTCTTTCCTGTTTTTATCCCTTTTAATTCTGCTTCTCTTCTTTTGTTCTAGCTAGGACTTTAAGCACTGGAGAGAGTGGACATCCTCATTTTGTTCTTGAACTTCGTAGGAGTGTTGTAAACTTACCTCAGTTTAGTATATTGTTGGCTATAATTCATCATCACTATTATTTTGAGATATGTCCTGACTCTATCATGAAGGTATGTTAAATTTTGTTGAAGGCCTTTTCTGCATCTATAGAAATGACCACATGATTTCTATATTTAAATCAGTTTTTATGGTAATTTATGATTAACATATGTTAAGCCATCCCTGCATCCCTGAATGAAGCCAAATGGATCATGATGATTTTTTAATGTGATTTTTGAATTTAATTTGCAAGTATTTTATTTAGAATATTTTGCATCTGTTTTCATCTAGGACATTGGTCTGTAATTTTGTTTTGGTGGTGCTGTATATTTATCTTGTTTTGGTGTCAGGGTAGTACTAGCTTCATAAAAGAGTCTGAAAACATTCCTTCCTTTTCTATTTTGTGGAATAATTTGAATAGTATTGAAAGTCAGGTAGGACTCTGTGTGAATTTTGCTTCTTATTTTTTTTTTTTTTTTTTTTTTGAGTTAGTCAGTGTTTTCCAAACAACACAAACAATAGGATAGACAGGTAAGACTGATGTGCTTTAATCCAGGGTTTCTCTGTGTAGCTTTGCGCCTGGACCTCACTTGGTAGCCCAGGCTGGCCTTGAACTCACAGAGGTCCGCCTGGCTCTGCCTCCTGAGTGCTGGGATTAAAGGCGTGTGCCACCACCACCCGGCCATATTCAAAGTTTGTGCTGGAACTTTCTTCAGCCTGAGCAGTCTCCAAACCCTATGTATCTCATGTGAACCTAGCATCTGTGACGCTTAGCGGTTGGGAAGAGCCAGTGCCAGGGTATGTAGTACAAGTTCAATATATTTGTTGTTATTTTAATTCATGGTTTTAATCAAGATAAATAAGAAGGACTCAAAGTATGTTTAGAGACTCTCTCGACTTCTGTGTCTGGAGACAATATTGATCCATAGCGACTGGCCCATTCTCAGTCTTTATTGGAGCCTATATTTATTCTTCGCGGGGTCCCACTTCAGGGCTGGTTTGGATTTGCTGAATGCTGGGAAAGAGAGATTTTTCTCCTCTTTTCTCTAAGAACAAGATATTCCTATCCAATGAGATCATGACTTCCAGAATGTTTTAAATGGAAATAAAAGGTCTCTGTCTCCCCTACAATTTTTCATGCCCTGCATTGTTCTAGTTTCTTACAATTATTCCCATCCCTTACTGACCATTCTGCCTCTCTGACTTGCATCCAGCTCTCAGTGTGGCCAAACAAGATTATAGTGTGGTTTGCGGGGAAAGGCTTTAGGCCGCCTGGGCACAGGGCTAGGACTTTGCTTCTGGTTAAAGGCTTTAGAAGTCAACAGAACAATGAGCTAGTTTTCTTTTGTGTTCAACTAGGCTTTTTAAAAGTTTCAGTTCAACTTCTCACATCGTTGTTGTTTTTTTCTTCCAATCTTCTTTGTTGTCCTACATTCAATAAACCATTTTGAATCTTACTCTGGGCCAAATGCTATACTTCCATGTACGCTGACACCCTCCTTCTCCTAGTCCCCACCCCGCTTCTCTAGGCTTCATGTAGTTGTGATACTTGGGGGAAATGCCTTAGCTCTCTAGTTAGTCAGTTCCCAAATCAAATGACAAAAATGTTGTATAGAAGGTCTCTGACAGGTTAAGAAGAAATCACTATGAATTTTGATTTTTACTTTTAATTTTTGCTCAAAAAAGTTTTGTTTTTTTTTTAATGTAGATTCCAAAGCCACTTCTTGACCTAACACGATTCTAACAACTTCTTCCTCCTCCTCTTGTTCCTGCTCCTGCTCCTCTCCACAGAGTCTTGCATTTTGCAATGTGGCCCCATCTGGCCTTGATGTCACAATCTCCTTTTCTCAGCCTCCCAAGTGCTGGAATTTCAGGCTTGTGTCAAGCTCATGGTTCAGGTTTTGAAAACAGTATATATTGCCCTTAAGTGATATGCAATGCCTGAAAAATCAAAAGGGTTTTCAGTATTACCAAATCAGTTGGAATTGTATCTTCAATACAATGCAACAGCTGTCCCCTACAACTGTGCTGATGTGGATCATTGAGATGCTGGCACCTTCTACTTCATTTTTAGCCCTAGTTGATCAGGTACAAGGAACTGGATTTGGAAGAAGCTGCAGTGACCTCAACTGAGTGGCTTACCCAGATGTATTGCTTTTCGGAAAATGGTTGGACTGTCGTGTTTCTGAGGGAATCATGAACTCAATGCCAGAAAAGCAAGACTTAACAGAAGCAAACTTTCTACTGAGCACAAAGCCACTCTGAGAGCCACCAACTACTTCATTGGGATAAAATGCAAATATTAAAAGCAAAGACAGACAGAAACTAGGCGTGTTTGGATAGCGTGAAGCTGGCTGGCTGGAAAATTGTGCTGATTTGTGACTTAGAAACCCCTTCAAGCTTGCTACAGTTCTAGTCTTGTAAGCAGGGAGGAAATAACAGTAATTTCTATGAAAAGGAAAAGCAATTACAATTATATATATTTGTGAAGGTCTAGAAATGTGCTTGTATATAAAGAAGACAATATTGTCACTAATAGTTAAAAATAAAATTTGGTGTTCCTGGAGATCCTGGGTTTGAATAAGATCTCAAGGTACTTCGTACTACTATTTGATGCTTTCTGGGACCTTCTTTGACTTACATTCAAAACATTGTCTAAGGACCTGTTTCTGGGAGAAAACTATCTTACATACCAGGATCCTCTCTACCCTATTTCTCTCCTACTTGTGGTGATGTGAAAGAAAATGCTCCCCAAAGGGAGTGGCACTATTAGGAGGCGTGGCCTTGTTGGAGGAAGGGTGTCAGTGTGGGGGCGGGCTTTGAGCTCTCTTTTTCTCAAGCTTCCCTCAGTGTGACAATCGACTTCCTGTTGCTTCTGAGTCGAGATGTAAGGACCATCAGCTCCAGAACCATGTCTGCCTGCATGCCAACATGCTCCCTACCATGATGATAATGGACTGACCCTCGGAAGTTGTAAGCCAGCCACCCCAATTAAAGGTTTCCTTTATAAGAGTTGCTGTGGTCCTGGTGTCTCTTCACAGCAATGGGAACCCGTAGCTAAGACAGAGCTCTTAATAAATGGAGAGATGGCACAGTGGGTACGGTACTTTCAGTACTAGTGTGAGTGCTGGCCATCAGATTCCCCAGTATCTGCATCCAAGGCCTGGCGGGTACAGTGGCTTGCTCCTAATTCCAACACTCAGAAGGCAGGGAGAGAGGAGCAAGCTATCTAGACACTGGAGTCTGGGAGCCCTGGGTTCAGTTGGGGGAACCTGCCTCGATGAAGGTGGGCAGGAAGACTCTAGATGCCAACTCTGGCCTCCCCATGTGCGCACACACACACACACACACACACACACACACACACACACACACACACACACACACACATGCATCCACACATTTGCGCACATACTTATACATTTTTTTTTTTTAAAGTAAATGTCAGCATCCAGCAGTAATGACTCAGCGCAGGCGATGAACTCCATTCAGACAGGTGGGGTTCATTCTCACTGTTTCAGAACCAGCCAGCTCTTTCACCCCTCCCCACACCACCCCCTACATATCCTCTGCCTCATCACTCCTATGCTGGCCACAACCCCATTCTCATTTCCAGAGACAGAACAATGTGAAACGGAGCTGACAGTGGCCCAAGCCCTATCTGGTTTTCCTTTGAGCGGACCCCCAAAGGAGTCTTGCTGGGCTCATGGGAGGAAAGGGGAATGATTCTCCCAGCTCTGTGTCCCAGCAATCCCCTTCCGTGTGTATTCCCTGGATCCCCAGCCAAGGTCTCTGCCCTCTTTGTAGTCATTTTATAGCTTTGTTGATCACAAGGGGAAAAAAAAGTCTTTTGTTTGGGGAGTGTCTGAAGGCACACATTCATGAAGAGGTTTAAAAATGCTGACAGGATTGTGGATGTTGAAATTAACTCCGCAATGAGACTCCCAAAGAGTTTAAGTGTAGCCAACCAAAATGAATGGTTTTTTGAGTTCTATAGAGAGAAAAGGGGTGAATGTGGTGACACACAGTGAGTTGACCAGTCTTCCAATGCTTGTTGACTACTCTAAGGGAAATGGATAACCCCTCTGGTGCAATCC